GAATAGAATACCTCTAACTGCTTACTAAGGATAAGTCATTACAAGCTTCGACGATGGTAGGGGAAACTTTGTGTCGATGTACCCTCCTCCCAGGACCATAAATAACTGGAAAAATGAAATAGTTTAATCTCTACAAGCTATTTTCTTTTAAAAGGTCGCGAAAGTCAAATAGTAATATTGAGACGGCAAAATCGCTTTTTAAAACCTCTGAACTTGAGCGGTTTCTTTGATTTATTCAAATTTCAGCGTTCGAAGCAACTCAGTCTCGTTGGTTCAAGGAGACTTGACATGCGATGTAAGCAACACCGCCCAACGAATCATCAGTGAGGCCGTGGCAGTCTGGGGGAGACTTGATGTCTTAATTAACAACGCTTCTCAGTTCTACGCTACTCTAATTGGCTCTATTAAGGAGAAAGAGTGGGAAGACTTGATCCGAGCTAATCTAACCTCGCCATTCTTCCTTTCACAAGTAAGACTGACATTCAGTCAGGATCTTCTGCATCAGTTACTTAATATATACTGATATGGCATACCCATTACAAAAGCTTGCAAGTTGTAGCCTGTATACTTTCAAGCCGACCGAAAAAAAACCTGAGTGGAAGGTGCAGGGCCTACAATCAAAAGATCGCATTTCTTTCTTTCTTATTTTTTCTCTTAACCTTTAGGTAGATTGACCATCTTTTGATCATCCTCGATTGCCACAGAAAGCAGCCTACGTTTGCGGCGAATTATAGCACATGTAAATACTTGCGCCACAATATTACTTCATGCATTATTTAAGTGATAGAGCACTTTTTCCTTGTTAACATAGCTTCATCTACACATAAGAGGGGTTCGGAGAACTCGAGACAGTTATGCAGACCCTCGACTGCGTCTCGGGTTTGCATTACTTTCGAGAATTCTCTCAAAGTGTTTAGATGAGGCTATGCACACACAGAAAATATGCTCTATTGCTTTTATAAAATAATTTTCAAGAATACGCGTGAATTTTAAACGTCACAACCGTGTTTGCATACTCTCATCAAAACACACCAATCGACCAATGAGAGCGCGCGTATTATCTCTGTTATTTTATAAAGCTATTTATAATATTTGCATAATGTTTGTTATCTACAATAACTTGAAACTTGCAATATTTACGCATTTCTATATTTACGTATAGTTAGGCTTAAGATGTCTTGATATACTCCAAAGTTACTGAAAAATTAACTTTGCAGGCGGCGTTTCCCTTCTTAAAAGCGTCCAAAGGAACAATTATAAACCTGTGTGATATCCATGGTGTGAGACCAAAGATCAATTACTCAGTGCATTCCATCTCCAAGGCTGGCCTTCACATGTGTACCTTCTCATTGGCTAAAGAGTTCGCGCCAGATGTGCGCGTGAACGGTGTCGCTCCTGGGTGCATCCTGTGGCCTGAGGAATCATGGGATGGATTGTCAGTGGAGGAAAGAGAAGCGCGAATGAAAGAGAACAAGAAAAAACAAGAAGAAAGTATCAGTAAGGTGCCGTTTGGTCGGAAAGGAGAGCCTGAAAATGTTGCTGATGTTGTGTTATTTCTGAGTACATCTGCTGAGTACGTCACTGGGCAAATCATTGCAGTTGATGGAGGCCGTATCTTGCATCAGTAAGTCCCGAGCGTCAGTGAGTCCCGCGGGTCAACGAGCTGAATGTACTGATCGTTTCCAAATGTAATTCTAAATGTTCCTCCCTGAATTCTTTTCTGATTTATAGATAACATATATATGCATTTCCAAATTTTCCATTGATGTATTTATTTGAATAGTAGTGACAAATGGTCAGCACACATTGAGCGGTAAGATAAGGTTTTATGTAGACTGGTTAATATTGATGCGCATGAACAATAACCAGAAGAAATTCTGAAGGCGCGGCTTGAGCGTTCACCTCCCACCAATGTGGCCGGCGTATGATGCCGGCCCGGTCATATGTGTGTCGAGTTTATTGTCGGTTCTCACCTCGTTCCCAGGGTTTTTCTCCGGGTTTACGTTTTTCGGTTTTCCTCCCTCCGCAAAAAAAAAAAAAGNTTTGGTCGGAAAGGAGAGCCTGAAAATGTTGCTGATGTTGTGTTATTTCTGAGTACATCTGCTGAGTACGTCACTGGGCAAATCATTGCAGTTGATGGAGGCCGTATCTTGCATCAGTGAGTCCCGAGCGTCAGTGAGTCCCGCGGGTCAACGAGCTGAATGTTACTGATGGTTTCCAAATTAAATATAACTCTAAATGTTCCTCCCTGAATTCTTTTCTGATTTATAGATAACATATATATGCATTTCCAAATTTTCCTTTGATGTATTTATTTGAATAGTAGTGACAAATGGTCAGCACACATTGAGCGGTAAGATAAGGTTATATGTAGACTGGTTAATATTGATGCGCATGAACAATAACCAGAAGAAATTCTGAAGGCGCAGCTTGAGCGTTCACCTCCCACCAATGTGGCCGGCGTATGATGCCGGCCCGGTCATATGTGGGTTGAGTTTATTGTTGGTTCTCACCTTGTTCCCAGGGTTTTTCTCCGGGATAACGTTTTTCGGTTTTCCTCCCTCCGCAAAAAAAAAGAAGAAAACAAAAACATCTCCAAATCCTAATTCGACTGATGAGATAGAGGACCTGCATGAAAACCATGCAGCTAAGGCTGATGTGGCTTCCTCTGTAAATAAAACAAATGTAAAATTGTAGTCATAATTTTTACACTTTGTAAGCCCGACAGCGCAATTTACTCTGCAGGAATTTTTTTTTCTACGCTTCTTCTTTGGACGCCTCTTTTTGACTCACCCCTCCTTGTATTTTTT